TTTTTTTTTTGGCATAGACGTACATAGTCCGGAGCTTTTGACAATCAGATGTTTCATTTTGTAAATTCTCGATTCTAAACATGCAGTGCTAAGATTTCTCGGCAGATTAATCAGGCGTGTAATACCTTCAGTAGTTCCTCGAAAGACCCCAGGTTCGTCCCATACGATCACTGCCTAAAGAACGCTGGGTGAAAGATTCCATAGGCGGCCGCTTCACCTTAGTCCAAAAAGAGCTTGGGTTATTTTTTCACTTTTCTAGCGCCAATTTATGTTTATATTTGGTTCCAGCATATCTGCCCTAAAAAAAAGATCAAAATTTGATGTCAGTATTTTCCTTGGATACTGCGTTTGAACTGTGGATCACATATTCATTACCCACCAACATTTGTTGTAGATAGAACTCAAAGCGAAGTTGCTGACAGTTTTCTAGGTTATCATCAAAACTGTGATAATTTAGATAGCGAAAAAGAAGCGGCATGTTTATGAGAGGGTTTTGAGCGAGAAAGGACTTGCCGAGTCAGACTCCGATGAGGACGCTGCAGAATGGGTAGCAAAATTAAAGAAACAAGAGGAGGAAAAGAAACGAGCTGAAGAAAGGGTTAGAATTCGCTTTTCAATTTGAAGTTGTGTTTGATATATCTTTTATCTAATCTTCAGGCCAAGTTGTTGGATGAGATGGATGAGGAGTTTGGAGTGAATAGCATCATTGCAGATGAAGAGGCAAAACGGGCGAAGAAAAAGTTGAGGCAGGATGCCAAAGTCGGAATTTTTCTATATCTAATCATTTCTATCTCCTTTGAAAATTGTCCTCTACGCGTTTTCAGCGAAACATCAGAAGTTCCGGAACCGGTGGTTTAGTCGTTGGACATGCAAAAGAAGCGTTCGCAGGCGTTTCGGATCATATACTCGTCCTTGAAGACAAAGGTAAACTTGTTATATATATATATATATATATATATATATATATATATATATATATATATATATATATATATATATAT